ACAACGTCAAAATTTACGTAAGACAAAAAAAATCGGGGTTTACAACGTCAAAATTTACGTAAGACAAAAAAAATCGGCGTTTACAACGTCAAAATTTACGTAAGAGAAAAAAAATCGGCGTTTACAACGTCAAAATTTACGTAAGAACAAAAAAATCGGCGTTTACAACGTCAAAATTTACGTAAGAAAAAAAAAAAGGGGTTTACAACGTCACCGACAACGTCAACCAGAACGGTACACGTCAGCCGCGACACAAAGGGGCAATTATAGAGGCAGGTGCCCGAACCAATATATATATATATTATACACAGAGAATATGTAGTTATAATCCATAGCTGGGTTTTTCTCATGGCCCATCAGGGGCTTACAGAGCTGATGCTATGGAACATCCAAACAGGATGGGCCCCGTTTGATAACTAAGTTGAGATATAAGTGGCTTAACGGCTTAAGGGTGGCTATTGTAGATATTTTTCTATAGTTCGTGGTAATATTGTAGATGTAACTATTGTAGATATAAGTATAGATACAACTATCATATAACTATAGTTAGTGGTGGCTATAAACCAACGTTAGTGGAACCAGAAAGCCAGGTATCAGCTTCGATCGAATTTACTATGCCGATGATACTGTACTCCTAGCCACCAATACTTATTCTGCCAATAGAATTCTCTGGGCTGTTGAACGGGTTTCACTGCAGTTTGGCCTTAAATTGAACAGAGGCAAGTGTTCCTATATCGCTATGAATGGGAACAATAATCTCAGATTCGCAGATGGGACCAAACTTCGTAGATGCACTGAAACAACATACTTAGGACATCATATCACACGAAGTATGAACATGAGACAGGAAATCGGATACAGAATGCAGCAGACGATGGCTGCTTGGACCAAATTAAAACCTTTTTGGAAAGCATCCAATTGCACTGTTGGTTGGAGACTACGCGTTTATCAGGCTGTCATTCAAAACAAAATGATTTATGGTCTTGAAACCGTGCACTTGACACAGGCAATGCTAAACAAGATTAACGCGTTTCAACTTCGGGGGCTTAGATCTATATTAAATCTAGAGCCCACATTTGTTAACAGAAGAAACACCAACGAATTTGTACTCAGAATGGCTTCCGAAAAAGCTGGGCACGAAGTGAAACTTTTCTCCGAACTTCTTTTGGACAAACGAGTTAAACTATCTGGACACCTTTTGAGAGCAACAGACTCGGACCCAATGAGACAAGTAGTTTATTCTCCTCAATCAGCAAACGCATATCTGATTGGTAAAAGGAGGGTAGGAGCGCCTAGGCAACAATGGCGCCACTTCACCCATAAACATATTTGGAACAAACTTACGAACGGATGGACGGACTATTTAAACACGGACGAGCAAAACAGACGAATCCACCAAATGGCTCTCGCACGACAATTTTAAGCTGTCGCAGTGCCGGCCCACGGACGCTTTAGCGACCATGGCCGGAAAAAATATAAACCAACGTTCACATCGGGGGGCACCAGGTGAAGAAGTCCTTGGGCGTCGATGTGACCACCACCACCCGACGGCGAATGAGGCGCGGTGGAAAAGGCAATTCCCAGAATGAATGGGAAATTTGGCATGAAACTCCCATGGTTCCTGTGAGGTTTAAAAAACCAATGGTTTCCTCCTAATTATATTTGATGGTAAAAACCCATGGATTTCCGGTTCAAATTGTCCCTTGAAAAGACGGTTTGAGCGGTTGATGAAGAAAATTTTTGCACAGGTGGAACCCACGGGGGAAGATTGTAATGAAATGCCGTTGGTGGGATATACCCTCTAGTAAACTAACAGTTTGCGAACTGAAAATCACCAGTTTGAATAGGTTAATCAACTATAAGTGTGGTATTTTCAATAGCTATGTCATCCATTACCAGAGGGTATATTTTAGTTGTATGATTGATCGGTGGAGAATGTTACTGCTGCAGACTGAACAACCATGACAAGTACTCTTCCAGAAATGACACTATATTCTACAGTAACTAGAAACTCTTCAGTGGAGTAATCTCACCAGTATCCTGACGCTTTATTGCATATTCCCAATAGGTTTGAGCAACAAAAAAACAACTAACCACTAGGGCTTGGAGGTGCCCCCAGCTTTCAGGGACTTTCAGGGATGCTGATCCCAGATTTCGTGGCAGGAAGTCCTCCTTCATTTCAGACTTGGATATAGGACACGTGTCCCTTGGCGAGATTGGAGTACAAGGTGGTACCCCAGTGGCGACCCAGGGGTGCTTAACAATCTTTGAACTGGGGGGCACCATCGTGTAGCTTGGGACATCATGATGTTGCAACACCTTTATGGATTGGAGCATGTTTTCTTTTGTTTGTTTCTTTTTGGAAGACTACTTTAATGTTACTGGATACTTGTGGTACTTCTATGTGGTATGGATGCAACAAGGTACTTGACGACTTGATGTTACTTGCCTAACTAAGTTCCTATGTATATATATATATACACATCCATATCTACACATTGTATTTTATCATGGACCATATATATACATATATATACAGTGTACATACTACGTGTTTTTATTTCATACATGTATAATATGCATACATTCCAAACATACATATCATCCACAACCTTGGATAGATAGAAACCTATTCCTTTAGTTGTTTGCCTAATAAAGAAAAATAATCAGAACCAACAACGAATTACATTTTTTGTTGACTAACAAAGATTGACCATAATATGTATATATATATGTACATCATTATGCATTGTATTCAGTATTTACATTATATATACATTATACATATATATATTATATCATTTCATATATATATATATATATATATATTATATCATATCATATATATATATATATCAAATCATATATATATTATGATTTATTTATATATATATATTATATGATATATATATATATTATATGATATATATATATATTATAATATATATATATCATATATATATATATATATTACATATACGTAGATAAACATACATATCCCTGTATAAGCAGACTACCCGCGCCCCAGGTCTCAGGATCCAACAAATCCAGCGTCGGCCACCGGACAGGTGGACGTTGACGTTGAACGAAGGGACCCTGGGCATGTCCCAACGTTTTAAGCGGCACATAATATGTTTATACAATAATATATATATATATATACTATAGTTCACCATTGATGTATAGTTTTGTTGATATATACAATCTTAAATGTATACAAGTTCATGTTTAATGTTTCTGATGTGTAATTATAATATATGTGATCTATATTTATATGAATATGATGATTTATCAAGCATAATATAAGTATATATTTATAATGTATGAAATCTCAAAACGTCTAATTGATTTATCTTTACTATCAACTTATCAATTTATCAAGCATCAATCATATGATAGTTGATCATTGATGCATATATATATATATTATGATAATATGGATATATATATATACTTATATTACCAGGTGTATTGGAGATTGTGAACTCACCCATAGTGGGAATCCCGATCAACCAACCAGTTCTGCCCAGTGTATGAGAAACCCTCAATCCACTGGCTAAAAGCCTGATTTTACCAACACAAAATTTTCCATATATTCAGGTATACGACATGTTCAGGCAGACAAAAAACAATCCATAGTCATTGGATTTCTGGAAACGACAACAGATTTGAATTTGGTCAATATATGCTAAGTGGAAAATAGTGGACATAGGGTTGAAGTTGATGGAACATCATTGTGAAGCTTATGGGGGGGGGGCCAATGACGCCAATCATTGACACCTGACTGGCCCAAAGAATAGATTGTGTAAACGCAAAGGGGAAAGGGTACAAAGAGTGTTCTTTACCTTGAAAGACAAACACACAGCACAAACTGGACAAGTCTTGCGATTGGTTTGGGTATGTTTAGGTTGGTCATGTGAGGAAACCAACATCCCATGATGGAATGTCACTTGACTTCAGACATGAACGGATTATTTGACGAGATTCATTTCCCCATGTAAGGTGGTGACCCGCAGTGATGTTTGTTGAGAACTCCTATGAACAATGTTAATATACCTTCCGGTATTCAAGCGCTGGAAAATTAATCAATACTTCAAGGATTTTCCCATTTTTACCTCCATTTAGGTGGGATTTCCTTCCATTTTTACCATGAAAATTTCCTCCATGGCTCGTTGGGAGCCGAGACAGATCACCAGGCGGTGAGGAAATTGGTCGGATCTCGTTCAGCCGGCTTATTGAACGTCGGGAGCCCATGATGGCGAAAATCCATTGATGATCATTTATTTATTCATTTATTTATTTATTTAGTTATATATATATATATAGATATATGTGATCTATGATCTATATTTATTAGAACATGTTTCGTGTTCTTTTTGAGTCTGTTTAAGTTGTTTCTGAAGTTTGTGCTTACCATGAAAGCATGTGAAATCCATGAAACACTGCACGAAACAATACAAAACATATCAACACATGGCATTCCGATCATGTCGAGTTTCATCTTGCTACGGTCGATGATGCAAGAAGTGGCAGGTGCCCGGTAGTGGTCACTCCACCAGTTGGTCGAACATGTGTACCCATGTTTTCGGCCATTTTTGGGGTGGATTCAACCTATTTTGGTCGGTACTCCAACTGCTTCAGCTGATCTGCTGCTTGCTGTCTCCAGGGATTCTTCTGCGGAATCTCTTGTTGAAGGCCAAAATCAAATTCATCACAGGGTCATGAAGGTCTAGACCGATGAAAGCAAAGTATTTCACTGGGCATGATTTCCCATTCAAGTGTCGTGTTCGAAAAGGGCACATGGGGTTATACTCCATCCCCAGCGGAAACATGTATGATGTATCCGATAAACATTACAACTTGAAACTTCTTGACATAATCTTGACATTCCAGTGGCATATGCACGCTCATACACACAGACAGTCAGCCAAGAACAACAAGATTTCCACATCGTTTCCTGCATCACTACAGCTCTCCACGTCTATCTCCGCTGTAACGCCATGGCAGATATCAAGGATATCAAGGTGCCACTGAGACTAAGGATCCACAAAGATCCAGTTGTGGGTCAGAGATGATCAAGACTCAGGAAGATATGATTCATATGGGAATCTATGGACCATTATAATGGGATTTTATGGGATTATAATGGGCAAGTATGGGATTTATCATCTATTATAATGCAATCACTGGGAATTTATGGGATTATAATGGGATTGTAATGGGTTTATATGGAATTTGAATGTATGTATATACATATATATATATATATGCATGTCATATATCTGGGTAATTATAACGATCTCATTGGGACCTCACTGGAATCATGGTTAGGATTCGAAGAATTATCCCAAAGATGCCTTATTTCAGGTTAGCAAAATATTATAAGTTGCCCAGATAAATGGATATATGTATGTATATTATATATATGGCCTGATATTATATGTGGATTACGTTTGACATAAATATGAATAGAATATGGATGTTATACCCTCTGGTCATTTCACATAGCTATAGAAAAATCACAATCAAACTAAATGGACCATGGCTTCCATAGCAAGCTGTTCAACTACGAGGGTATATTCTCATGATATTCCCACTAAAACACAATTTTTGATAGATTTTCATCACCAATTCCCATAAGATTCTCGTGATTATCCAATATTCCCAGGATATTGTTGGCTGTTTTCCCATGATCTTCCCATGATCTTGTCCTCAAATTCCTGCAAAAGACGATGCACCATGGACGATCTGTTCACTCGCAGGTTCCCAAGGGCGATGTGCCCGAGGCAGCGAACATGGTGCGGTTTTTGATGAATACTTCCTGGTTATTGGGCATATATATATATATATATATCTGGGTAAATTACAACGAACTCACAGGAATTAAATATCATATTCCATTATATAATGGATATACCATCTGGTTATTTAACCGTTTGCCATGGAAAATCACCATCTTTATGAGGGAAACCATCTATTTCTATGGGCCATCTATACCATGGCTATGTTAGTCATAACCAGAGGGTATTTATATATATATATATAAATTACCCTCGGGTAAATTAATATAGACCCTGAAAACCAGCAATTTTTAGTGGAAACTAGTCTTCCAAGCCCCAATTTGCCAGGATCTATGTTGATTTACCACAATGTATGTTGTAACCCATATACTTATATATAATTATATATATTAGGGTTTCACCAAAGAAAGATCGCTAATATAAGCCATAGGGAAAGCTAGCTGGATCATCTGGATCAAGGGGTGAAACCACGAGGGATACACAGATTATGGGTATGGTAATTCGTCGTATAGTTTCTACCAGATATGGTATAGGTATACATAAAAAGCTATAGTAATGATACATATGAAGTTTGACCATTGGATATGGATTTTGCTTGGAGCTTTCTTAAGCAACTCCAAGCTTGGGTATGATGCTGCACATGGTATAGATCTTGCGGAAACACCTGAGATTTGGGGCATCGCAACCGCTCAAAAAGAGCTATACCTCCAGCCCGGCCCTGGCATAATCCCTGGCATATCCGGGCATACAAAGTGACATTTGGCGATGGGATTATGAAATTAAAAGTATGTGTATACGTATATATACTGTACAGTATATATATACACATATATATGTATATGTAGACATACTTCAATATACTACTGTGATGGAGTATATGGATTATTGATTATAGATGTGTGATGGGAATACATGCATATATCATCATATATCCCTATGGCTCAAAGCACTTAGTTCCATGATTTTCCTATTCAACGCCTCCATTTATACTTGGATGTGCATCCCACGAATCGGATCCGTGGTTTGTCATCCATATATAACCCATATGTTATTCCATATATAATAGGGATCAATAGATATTAATAGGGATTAATAGTGGATATTCCATTTATTAACTGTATTTTTTTGACCCATTTACAAAGTGGGGCCCGCGCCCCCAAGCAGGGAGGATAGCAAGTTTTTGATTGGTTATAACAACAGGTAGTTAGTGAGGGGAGTATTGTCCTAGCCATAAACCCTCCATTTATGGCCCGTTATGGCCATTTATTAATCATACCTAGTTATAAAATGGGATTATACATTCCATTTCTATGGGGTTATTTCATTACTTATAACTGGTATGACTCCGGCCATAACTGTAGTCATATTCCGTTCATATTCCATTGATATTCCAGTCATATTACCCTCTGGTAAACTAACATAGCTATTGAAAATGATCATTTATAGTGGATTTACCCATACAAAATGGTGATTTTCCATAGTTATGTTAGTTTACCAGAGGGCACATAAATAAAGATACCCATTATATCTATCCCCAGCACATTCATCCATCAGGATTTCTGCTGTGCAGCTTCCGGGCGACCCTTGTACTATCCCGTAGCCAGGGAGCTCGGCTGGGCCAGGGATTTGACAAGGGAGGATAATGGGGATTGGGGCAGTAGTATCTATGAGATATATGTAAACAAAACATGCGATATAGATTCAAGATGTATTATGGATATGGATTTTCGATAATGGGAAATGGTGATTCCTATCTGTTTAAAATGGTAAGTTACTGATGTTAATGGCATATTCATTTATATAATCTCCAGTAAACTAACATAGCGAACTGGATCATGGCCCTTTTTTTATAGATGATTTATCTATAAAAGGTCATTTCCATGGCTAGGCGTTAGTTTACCAGAGGGTAATGGAAATCATGAGGATATTGACTGGGATGTTGGTTTGCAAAGAATTTCATTTTCGATGATTTTGCGTGTGTCTGACAATGGAGATATTTCATCATTAGTTACAGTAATGGTGATTTACCTGGTATATAAATGGGAAGATTTCATGGAATATAGTTATACAAATGTTGGTGAAATTGCTTTCCATAATATGGTTTTCATGATATAGTGGATATCATATTACCAAACTGGATATAAGTAGTTGTTGGATGTGTAAAGCCAACTGATGGCTTACAACAAGATATGATATGAATGGGTATGTTCGAACATAGGGGATACCAGTAGTACCGCACAAGGCGGTGGCGGAAGTTTCAAAAATAGGAAACCTATAGGAGAGATTGGCTGTTGTGAACCAGGGATGACAAAGCGAATCCACTGATGGACCGAAAGGTGCTTGAGGTCTCCTCTTTTTCTCTCTCTTTCTCTGACTATCTACTTACCTACCAGCCTATCTTCTATGTATCTATCTATCTATCGATCTATCTATCTCTCTCTCTCTCTCTTTCTCTCTTTCATCTCATTACCTATCTACCTATCTACCTATCTACCTATCTACCTATCTACCTATCTACCTATGTACCTATGTACCTATCTACCTATCTATCTATCTATCTCTCTCTCTCTCTCTTTCATCTGTCTATCTGTCTAGCTGTCTACCTGTCTGTCTATCTATCTGTCTATCTGTCTACCTGTCTATCTGTGGTGCAGTGTCATTCAGGTAGTGGAGTGTAGTTGTGTAGTTGCAGTTGTAGTGTTGTGTAATATAGTGTAGTGGAGCGTAGTGTAGTGGAGTGTAGTGTAGTGTAATGTAGTGTAGTGTAGTGAAGCGAAGCGACATCTGAACCTCCAAAAGTGGTCCGAACCCCTGGTGTTTATAACATTTTGACTTCGAAACGTGCTTCGCGCCACAACGGCGTGCACTTTTTCGACATCTGAACCTCCAACAGTGGTCCGAACCCCTGGTGTTTTTAACATTTTGACTTCGAAATGTGCTTCGCGCCACAACGGCATGCACTTTTTCGACATCTGAACCTCCAAAAGTGGCGCGAACATGTGGTGTTTTGTGCATTTTCACTTCGAAATGTGCTTCGCGCCACAACGGCGTGCACTTTTTCGACATCTCAACTTCCAAAAGTGGTCCGACAATGGTGTGTTTTGTACATTTTGACTTGGAAATGTGCTTCGTGCCACAACGGCGTGCACTTTTTCGACATCTCAACTTCCAAAAGTGGTCCGGAGCTGGTGTGTTTTGTACATTTTGACTTGGAAATGTGCTTCGCGCCACAACGGCGTTCACTTTTTCGACATCTCAACTTCCAAAAGTGGTCCGGAGCTGGTGTGTTTTGTACATTTTGACTTGGAAATGTGCTTCGGGCCACAACGGCGTGCAATTTTTCATCTTTCATCTGGCCAGCTGGCTCCGCACCCGCCGCTTTAGCGAGCCTACTTTTCGACCCTCCGGAGCCACAAATCATTGGAAAAAACACAGTGTTTCGCGACTTTCCTAGCATTTCGCGCATCTGCATCTTCTTTCTTCTAACTCTTTCTCTTCTACTCTTCTCTCTTCTAATCTTTCTCTTCTCTCTGCCTCTGCCCTGCTCTGCTCTTCATCTGTCCATACTGTCGGAAGTTTGACTTCTAAACTTCCTTCGATAACTCCTCAAATTGGTGATTTTTTCAGCGCGTGAATGGGCCGTGTTGGGGGTATATCGGATACAATGGGACAGGATGGGGGAGATAATCATAGAAATTGGGAGATACCCTCTGGTTATTTAACATAGCCATGGAAAATTACCATTTTTAATAGGTAAACCATCTTTAAATGGGCCATCTATACCATGGCTATGTTAGTCATAACCAGAGGGTACTACAAAAGGAACATCCAAACGTCGACAAATTGGAGCTTCGATTTCTGCAAAGCTGAGCCGGGCTGATTTAGTGGCATCAATCCCATCTCCCTGATAATTCTCGTCTGGACAACAATACCCTCTAAGTTTTGTTGAAGGCTTCTTTTTTTCTCAATTGGTCAATATACCATTTGGATACCATCAACTACATAAGGTCTGAAATCGGCATACCTTGAGGTATGCCGAGCCAAGGGTCTGAGATGCTTCATGATGCATTGTAGACCTTTGTTCAGCTAGCATTATAGACCCCTGTAAGTGTAGTATAATATAGTATAATTAGAATAGCTTAGCCAAGAACATCAGAAAATATTACATATTAACTATATATAAACCACTCAAATTCTTGGATGGCAAAAAAGATATATATCAGATATATATCAGATGATTGCATGATTACTGAACCCTTCCAGAACCCCGCTTGCATGATTTCATTCCGTTTCGGTTTTGATCCTGCATGTCCGCAGCATGCCCTCTTACAAAAAAGTCTCACAATAACTGACCCAACATTTCACAGATGCAGATGGGGCATGATGATGAGTTGTCAAGGTTCTTGATTCTGTTGGCATTCTAGCAAGTAAGCCGGGGACAGGGCAGGCGCAGCCAAGTTTCAGGAAACGAGCTAAAACCAGCAAATCCACCTACTCAACATCAATCAACCACAAACCTATCCACCCCCTCACTCCTAACCCAATAAAATCTTGTAGTAGCTTTGAAATTTCCACCACATTGTTCCGATACCATCCAAAAACGCATTGGTCGGAAGAGAAAACCAAACACGCAGCACCGGAATAAAGGAAACATAACTAGTAGCCAAAGACCAAGTTTCAGACATGTTTCGGTGCGACCAAGCCGTAGGAAATGAAGTCAACCAACCAACATGAACTGACTTGGTGATCAATGGGCGTGGGGTCCAAAGTGATTTCCTCCATACAGAGCCGTGATAAACCTCAATGGAACCAGGGGCAAATCATTCCAGACCCCCCCTAAAGCACAATACCAGGCTGATACCCATCCAAGAATACATTAATATATATATATATAATATACACACATTGGACAAAAAGAATAATATAACAACCAGCCAGTAGGGGGAAGAAAAAATGAAACACAACCTTTTAGCTCAAAGACCAAGCTTTGACATGCTTCGGTGCGACCAAACTATAAGAAATGAAGTCAACCAACCAACATGAACTGACTTGGTGATCAATGGGCAGGGGGTCTAAGGTAATTTCCCTCATACAGAGCCGTGATAAACCTCAATGGAACCAGGGGAAAATCATTCCAGACCCCCCTAAAGCACAATACCAGGCTGATACCCATCCAAGAATACATTAATATATATATATATATATTATACACACATTGGACAAAAAAAATAATATAACAACCAGCCAGTAGGGGGAAGAAAAAATGAAACACAACCTTTTAGCTCAAAGACCAAGCTTTGACATGTTTCGGTGCGACCAAGCTATAAGAAATGAAGTCAACCAACCAACATGAACTGACTTAGTGATCAATGGGCAGGGGGTCTAAGGTAATTTCCCTCATACAGAGCCGTGATAAACCTCAATGGAACCAGGGGCAAATCATTCCAGACCCCCACTAAAGCACAATACCAGGCTGATACCCATCCAAGAATACATTAATATAAATATATATATATATTATACACACATTGGACAAAAAGAATAATATAACAACCAGCCAGTAGGGGGAAGAAAAAATGAAACACAACCTTTTTGCTCAAAGACCAAACTTTGGCATGTTTTGGCGTGACCCAGCTACTGTTGCAGGAAATGAAGTCAACCAGCATATCCACCCAACCAACAACAATTGATTTCGTGATCAATGGGTAGAGGGTCTTAAGGTGATTTCCCCCATACAGAGCCGTGATAAATCTCAATGGGACTAGAGGCAAACCACTCCAGACCTCCCCAAAAGCACTATACCACGCTGATACCCATCCAAGAATACATTATATACGTTGGTCAAAAAGAATAAATCACAACCAGCCAGTAGGGTGAACAAAACATGAAACACCACCTTCTTGCTCAAAGACCAAGCTTGATCCTGGCCAATTTCTTTATTTATTTCTGATTATTGCAAACGGTTTTGTACCCAATCACGTATTGTTACAGTATGTGGTAACTAGCTGGATTTGGATGCTCTTTTTGTCTCGCCATATAAATATGTAGCCTTCATATTGTTGTGCATGTATTTTATTGTATTTCCTCAAACATCTATGCTGTTATATCTTTATATATATATATATGTTGCTTCACAGGAACTCAATGTTAGACCTTGAGCTTCAGCATAGCCTCCCTGGTCTAAAGTGCCTCTGAGAATCCTAGATTTAGAAGGGGTAGTTCATTTTAGACCACCGTTTTGGGGTCTACAATGTAACCACCAAGGCCCCCCCCAAGTACCAGAGGGTATCCATTTGGGAAATCTAATAGGATTATTTACCCTCTGGTAAACTAACGTAACTATGGAAAATCACCATTTTTCATGGGAAAACTCACTATAAATGGCCATTTTCAATAGCTATGTTAAATTACCAGAGGGTAATCTGTTTTTTGGAGGGCTCTCCAGTAAATCCAAGAGAATTTTGGTCTCTTCCCCATTTTCAGACACTGTATCCAGTTGTGTTTGTCGCAACTGTCAACAAGACAAGATCCAAAGGGGGCACCTTTGGTCGAATTTCCTTCGAAGTTGGCTAAGTTTGAAAAACACCTGGCCTGTTGATGGTTTATGCTATGCTACCCTTTTAACATCTTTTAACGTTGTATCTTGGTCAAAAATTGGATTATGTCAGCCATTTTTATGAGGGATCGCCATCCCCCATTTTTGGAAATTGATACATCCATGGTACGGATTACCATCACGGGATGGACGTCCATCATAAAAGCCCCATGTAACTTGACCATGGCAGGAATCCATGAGCTGAAAATCCACATGAAAACCACGTTTTTTTTTTTAAGGGATGATGTTTTTGAGATCCTGTCACTGAGCAGCCTCTCTGCTACTGAAGGTCACTGATCAGGGTGTGGCCTATTGTCGGATGCCCGGTTTTCGGTGAAGCGGGTGATTACAGTGCTACAAGTGGTGCTTTACAAACCGGCTGCACTCCGCCATGCAGTTCATGTCATAACATGTCATAACTATTCATACCTATATATAACCATGGTAGTAAGCCCAATAGGTTGGGATAAAGCATGCTAAGCATGATAAAACCCCTATAACATCCTATAACTATGCTTACACATCCAATTCTTACTGGAACTGTCCTTCGAAGCAGGTTATGATCGTTTGCAGTGCTGAAATCGAGGGCAACGAGTTGAACAAGTGACAAACTGGAGTCAGCGAAACGAAATGAAAGTGGCACTGCAACAACGGCAACAGCGACAGCAACAACAAACATACTATGGACGGTTTCAAAATCCTGCACCAGCTGGTGGTTTATGCCGTTGGGAATCCGATGAAATTTACAGTGTTTCATAGGAATCCGAATAGTTACCAACTGGTGCAGGATTTCTTCCATCCACAGTATGTTTGATTACCAGAGTGTCAATCCCATTATATCCCATTCTCCCAGATATCATATATCCCATTATATGTACTGTACCATTAATTAGGATCCATTGGTGAATAATCCCATTATATATCCCATTATACTTCGTTTATCTGCAGTATCACCAGTATGATCATTATATCACTATTTTTATGTTGGTTAAATTTCTTGATTAAATTCCAAAATATTCCCCATGACATCCCTGTTATAATATCTCCTGAATATTCCATTTGACACGTCTGGGCAAATTTTGACGACCTCACTGTTCTCCCGAACCCTGGAATCATGTTTTTTTTTTTCAGAGGAATCATCCCAAAATGGCCGCAAGTTTCCGTGTAGTAAAATATTATAAGTTACCCAGGTAGGATGATCATAGGATTGTTTTGGATGATTTTGGGATTCTAACATGATAATTACTATAATTTAACCAGATAAATCGGGAAATTCCCCAAACATGGATGGTTTATAATAGAATCCTTTATAGTAACTGGTTGGTGGTTTGGAACATTGTTAATTTTTCCATTTGTTGGGAATAATCATCCCAACTGACGAGCTCATATTTTTCAGAGGGGTAGGTATACCACCAACCAGATTAGTTATTGATATTTGATCATATCCTCTACCAACCAGAAACAAACTTAAACTTATCTACCCCCGTTCTTTAGAATATCCTTTATATTAACTGCCATCTGGTTATTTAAGATAACCATGGAAAGATCCACCCATTTTTAAGAACGGTAAACCCAGGTAAACCATCTATTTCTATGGGCCATGGCTTAACCATGGCTATGTTAGTCATAACCAGAGGGTATATTACTACAATTTGCCCCATCTCCGATCTCCGTTGGCTTCCCGGCGAGGCTATTCCGTGTGGGATCCAAGGGATGCCATCGTGGTAAAATGGGGTCGGTCAGTCCCGTCCGGCGGCTGAAATATGGCTGAAATATGACGGTAGACCTGAAATATGGCTGACATATGGTGAAGTAAAAAAACAACGAGTTTTTTTTGTTACCAGAATTGCAGACCTATTGTTGATCTTTAATTACATGTAGACAAAATGTGTACGTAAAAATATGTAAGTGGTACGCATGTATTTACATGATACATACCCTCCTGTGTCATCAAACGTGGCTGGCAAAATTCTCCACGTCGACAATTTTCCAGCCACGTTTGATGACACCGGCACACTATTTTCAGATACCTGAGAATGTATAACCCCCTAAATCATGCCGCAGTCATACTTCCTAAAAAGCGACTTGTATCCTTGGATCCAGAAACACATCATACTGTGGATGGAAGAAGTCCAGCACCACCTTGGATGGTTGAAACCCTATGAATAGTGGGATAAACAACCTATCAACTGGTGCGGGATTTCTTCCATCCACCGTAGGAAAGAAATAGCAAACAACATAAGAATAGAATCCAAGCTATTGGTCATTTTGAATGGGGAAAGAAATGCCCAATTCCAGGAAACAGCATCAATCCTACTTTTGGTACCAAAATCGGTATAGAATAATATAATCCTCTGAAAGTGAACATTCAAATGGAACAATCATGGAAATAAATTGCTGATTCTCCAGCTGGCCATGTTTGATTAACCAGAGGCTAATTATATAATCAAGATTCCATTCATATTCCATTCCCATGAAATACCCCATTAACCCATGAAATACCACCATTACAGGGTAACTCACCAGATGTTCCTATTAAAAACTCCAGTTTCTATGGATTCTCCCCTGACATTTTCAGGTGCTCTTTGAGATGTTCATGTCATCACCTATGGGTGCACCCAAGTGTGCAGCTGGTCAGCATGGTATACCATCCGGTGACCAAACGTGGCCGTGGAAAAACCATTATTTTATCATTAAAGGCACAACATTTATGTGGGATGTTCAATTGCAATGTTTGATTCCAGAAGTTTACATAAACCAATTGTATGTGAGATATATCAGAAATCATAGTAATCCCATGTAATCCCTTCTCCAATTTGTTCCAACCCAAACTATGGCAACTATGGTGGATGTAGTTCGCCACCTCGTGATCCCAACATGTCGTTTTTCTGGCTGGGTTGCTTCATAAGACACAACGGGTATTTCTTAAGGATTTCTTGGGATATTACCCTTTGGTAAACTCACATAACTATGGAAAATCACCATGTTTCATGGGAAAATCCACTATAAATGGTGATTTTCCATAGTTATGTTAGTTTACCAGAGGGTACTCAGTTACGCTCACCAGATTTCACCAACTCAGTTCGCCCATCGAAGTTGGGAGTCTTCACATCCATCACTTGCCGAGTCATGACTGGAAGCCAACGTTGGATACTGTGGAGAAATATGAAGAAATCATACACCAGTTGGTAACTATTGGTACCTATGAAATTATGAAACACAACGCAAATTGAAATTGGGATTATAACGGGATAAGCAAATCTACCAACTGTTGCAGGATTTCTTCCATTCACAATATGACTCGCCTCCGGTGATCAAACATGGCTTTCTGGAAAATTCCCCATTTATTTCGATGAGTTTGGCATTGAAACCTCCACTGATAGGGGGTTTTCCTTTGCCACTTTTGATTACCAGATGGTAATTGTTGATTGGATATTGAAATGTGAGCAGCAACCAGCCTCTAACTTGTTCAAGAGGAGTCGATCAGCCAAAAATTTGGGAAGAAGGACATTTCCAACAAAGAATGGCTATGGATCAGTTTGTGGTAGTTCGAACTAGTGAATTGGTGCTAAAAAGCAATCCAACACACATCACAGCAGGGGGAACAGTGAATCTACAGCTTGACACAGCTTGGTTTCCCAAACTAATCCTCTTCAGATTGGTTTGCAGGCATACATGAACTGTAATAATCATCCATACCCGGCCTGGTAAACATACAAAAAGCTATGGAAAATGGCCATAGCAATAGTGAGTTTTCCCATTCATAGTATGGTGATTTTCAATAGCTATGTAAACGTTTACCAGAGGGTAGATACTTTGTACCAATCAGCACTTTTGTTGGTTAAATCGGGTGTGTTGTTTTTTCATTTTGGGCATGACATTGAAACTGGGTCAAGTCGGAACTAAGTACAAACTTCTGGATTCCAGACGTTAATGATTTTCGCATGGTTAACATTGACCCAAACAAATGTGTTCAACGGTTGGAGATGTTTGTTAATCTTGACTCTTGATGTTATCAGTTGATGTTTTTGGGTCAAACGTCTTGAACCTTGTTTAACATCCATGTTGTTCATCCATTGTTCACTATATATGTATTTCACCTTTCCAATTAAACTAATTGTTGATGTTGTTCCTGCTCTTGAACTTTGACCCTGGCAGCGATCTCTTCGTCCAAGGTGGTGACGGGGGAGCCCATCACCTTCTTTCCCAATGTTTGCCCTGCACTGCCGTGGCCTCGGTCTTGGCAGCTGGTGGTGCTCCAGTGCGCTCGCCTGGTAGCCCCCACAACTACTGGTAAGGTTTATGGTAAAAATGTGTAAATATATATAAATATATTATCATATCTAATTATGGTTCATTGGGGGATCCCTACCCTCTTAAAAATGGATTTTGAGGGGGGGAGTCGTACTGGAAATTTCATTTTAAAATTCAATTTTTGCAATCATGTTTTCTCAATGATCAATATTCCTCATCATTCCATGTCATTGGCAAACAGATGAATATTAAATACTTGCGCTTAGCTCCGGAGGAGCTAAGCACATGTCAGACTGAAGCAGCACATGTGTAGGGATGGCATCCCTCCAATAATTGCGCTGCCGTCATCATATTTTCTAACCAGTGCCCAAGGCTTGTTAAGAAATGTTACTTTACAATTCCATTTGAGGGGTTGGATCACTATCTCAGGGTTTCCAACCAAAAAAAACTGGAATCCGTCAGGTTGGTTTTGTCCCCGCCCTCCCCCTCTATAGGGGTAGGGATATTGGGGGTTATAAACTCACTTTATCACAAGGCACCAGTTTGTTGCATTTCGATTTTTTAGAGAAATCGCACAGTGCTGGTTGGTGGTTTGGAACATGGCTTTTATTGTCCATAATATATGGGACAATCCTTCCCATTGACTAATATTTTTCAAGATGGTTAAAACCACCAACCAGAGTGATATTGATGTGTTTGTTTTTTTTCCGGTATATACCACTGATGGCCTGACATTGCCACGGGGACTTCCGACTGGTCCAGGCACCATTTTATGCTGGATGTCTACAAGAAGGATCTCAAGGGCCGGAAACAAATCGAGGAAACCATCATGGCCAGCCACGGGCTGAAGGCCCAGATTAAGCCCCAAATGATAAGGGGCGTCGGCGATGATGAAGTCTGAGGGTTACAGATGTTTTTTTTGAATGTAAGTGGTACATAGTCAAAGATGTTTGTATTATATACCGACCAAAATGCGGGATATTCATTCAATCTGTTGTGTTGGCGCATTACTGCAAGTTCCACATCTTGACCTTTTTTTTTGTATTCCAAACCTTTTGTTGAACCTTGGAGGCCACAAGAAGGCTCATATAACCAAACTTTCAATTGTCTTTAAGAATTTGGAACCCTCCTATCAACCCCAAGGGGGGGCAATTTAGATACTTTGAACTTCAGGGTATGTCATAGGGATCAGTCGAGTAACAAAAGGTTGTTTTTTTGATTTTATCCCATTTCTATTTTTTCGGATTTCATTTTCTGACATGCTGGAAGAGACTTGGAAGAGATGAGAAAATTAATACGGAATCCTCCAGGGTCTTTCATTTTAGACCCGGGTTTTGGGGTCTACAACGCAGGCCCTAGGGTCCCCGGGTACTAGTAGAGCCTATACTTAATATGGGGGGTTTCTAAAATGGGGGATACCCCAAAATTGATGGTTTACAATGGAACATCCCTATTTTGGGAAACCTCCACATGTACTGTAATCAGGGGGAAAACTATATCATCATATGACCACTGGGTGTCATTGCGCCAACATGTGGAATTACAAGCATCGGCACCCCAGGGGACACCAACTATCTATCTGGTGATCTATGGCTGCTTTGGTTGTTCGTGGCGTTGTTCTTATTGTTGTTGCTGGTGGTGTAGATAGTTTTGCCCGCACTTCCATTATATGTTCTGTCTGGTGGTCTTAAACATGTTTTGGGTTGGATAGTATTTGGGATGAAGATTGAAATTGACTGAAAAATGGGAACGGGTTGAAGCATGTTGAAACTACCAACCAATGCTGTCGGTGATGAAAATAAACACACGCTGAGCCGTAGGTGCCAAGCATCATGGATGCACCGGATGAGGTGCTTCCAGTGGGGCTGTGGTGACAGATGCATATCTTTAGACTAGAGAATACATATCTGGTTGGTGTTTTGGAACATTTTTTTATTTTTCCATATATTGGAAATAATCAAAACCCTGCTTTGGACCCTGGTGAAGATAAATTTCGGTGGTCAATGGATGTTCATCAACGCACCAAATACGGCTGGTTGTCGGTTTGGACTCATCCCAATACATCGGTTAGCCATGGAAAATCACCATGCTATTAAGAACGGTAAACCATCTATTTCTATGGGCCATGGCTTCACCATGGCGAACTGTTAGTCATAACCAGGTTGGGTATTTTTCAAATAGCAAATTTCAAGGTGGGAGACAGTGACACTTTTCAGGACTTGACACAGTGACCATTCTCGATTAAGGGAGCTCGAGACACAGTGTTTCCGAGGATGATTCATCGACCTGTTTCTGGGATGTCCGTGTTTTCCCGATGGACTTTTTGCCGGTGATTGAACAGTTTGCGATGGAACATGACCCATTTATAGATGTTGTTTGATGATTTACCTTTACCTATTAGAAATTGTGGTGTTCCATAGCTATGTTAAATAACCACATGGTCCATTTATAGATGATTTATGATCACCTATGAAAAACGGTGATGTTCCATAGCTACATTAAGCGGAGGGTTGATTTTACACTTTCTGTCAACCTTTGCCCCTTCATTCACGGCAGCTGCATGCAGCTGCCATCGCGAGTTTTCGCAATCGAATCAACCAGTGTTCAGAGGTCCCAACTCCGGCCTCTGATTGCTAGTTATTCAGTGAATACTCTATTTGTACCATTATGGTCATTATGGTTATTATATTATAGCATATTATAGCATTATCCATAGCATCCATAATCATTATCCATTTATCCATACTCGTACCATTCATTGGGAGCTCCCATCCATCAGTGACAGCCAGGATGGAGATGATGGATTTATGGAGGAGCCGCGGTCCCATGGACCGGGTGCTGGACCGAAGGATGAAGGATGAATGATCCGCAAGGAACGATGAGTGATTTAAGTTTCTTATCGTTGATATAACTGATTATGATTAAGATTACAACTCATATAACTAATAAGAACTTATATATTACAACACTTATACCTGATTTAAGTTGATATGATTGGGTATGATTTAATTCATGTGAATGGAAGGAATATGCATTCATGAGGCGAACCCGATGATAAACCATCTCCAAAGAAAGGGGTCCTTAAAAAAGTGGTTGTTGGTGGTTGACTTCGGGCTTACGGCTTACATCTCCATGATTATCATACCTATATCGCCTATATCCTATATATCCACCATAAGTATAGATATAATTATCCTGCATAGCTAGTGGAGTTACATGTTACCAACTTACCGAATTCCGGGAACGGGGAGCCACATCTTTTTCGGTTATATCCATACGAAGATCTCCCATTTTCAGTAGCAAAAAATCCCCTAGTTTTGACCCACCCCAGAATCCCTTCAGAAATATTA